GCCCCAGCCCCAGCCCCAGCCCCGCCAAGCCCCTCCCTGCACCACAGACTCTGCTGCTAGGGACCCAGGGCTCACCTCCATGACCAGGTAGACAGAATTGGCCATTTCCTACAGGACAGAGAGGCCATGAGGGATGCAGCAAGGGTCATCTTGGGTGCCTCAACACATCACCCACCTCCTGGGACTTGGGCACAGCAGCCATGGCCAGGCCCGGGACTCAGCCAGTCAACACTGGAGGCAGGACTTTGGCAGCCAAGACAACTCTGGAGGCGGGTGACTCTGTCAGTTGTGGCCACTTCAGTTGAAATGTGGGCCTGGGCCGGGTGTGCTGCCCCACACTCATAATCCCAGCACTCTGGAGATTCAGGCAAGATCTCAAATCTAAGCCCAGCACGGGCAACTTAGCAAGCTAATAAAAAAGGGCTGGAAGGGCCGGGGATTTAGCTCAGTGGTTTCGCTTCCCGCTGCGCAAGCACAAGGACCGGAGTTCGATCCCGTACCAAAAAAAAAAGAAGGGCTGGAAACATAGCTCAGGGAAAAGGTCATGGATTCAATCCATACCACAGAACAACAGAAAAAGAAATTCTGTGCGTGCGCGCAGCCTGCAAGGAAGCAGGGGACTGCAGTCGGGGTCCCTCAGCCCAAGGTCTCCACACTCAGCACTGCATCCTGTGCATGGTGACTCCCAGCCAGGGTACCAGCAGGTGTGCAGGTCCAGCCAGGGAGGTGCAAGGCTGTGTGGCCTCAGGCTCAGGTGCTCCCAGCCCTGAGGGGTTGGCACTGCCAGGCTGTCAGCACCGGGGCCCCAGCCTGAGGCACCCACCCTCGCTCTGCTCCTGGCCGCCCATGGGCAGTACACACCAGGCTGAGCTGAGCCCCCCACACCACCCCGAGCTCAGGCAGGCGCACAGCACCAACACCCACTCCTGGAACAATACGGAGGCCATCGAGGCCCAGGCCAGACAAGTCAGGCAGGCTGGGCCTGGCCACCCTGCAAAAGTCCCTGTGTAGGCGGTGTCTTCCCACCCACAGGGGCAGCTCTGCCAGCAACAGCAAGCCCTGTACCCCGTGACTACAGGGCCCAGGCAGGGCGCTCAGGGGTCCACGCCCTACTTGCTCTAACTCCACTCTGCTGTCCGCCCCCCCCAAGTGGGGGCCAGAGGGGCTGAGCTCATGAGCCCCAGGCTCACAGTGGATCTGGTGCCTGGAGGGGTGCAGGGCGTCTCAGAGGGCTGCAGGGTCAGGTACCTGCAGCTCAAGCACACACACTGGCAACCCAACAGCCAGCTGCCACCTGCCTGCCCCACGTGCAAGCCACCCTGCCCCCAATTTGCCAGGCCCCAGGACCCCCAGTGCTCAGCACCCAACCCAGGAAGCTGAGGGCAGGGCAGATCTCAGCCTACAGGCAGGGACAGCCCCAGAGGGAAGCCCTGACCCACCCCACCCAGTCCCCATTTGTCCCCGCCTGACCTCCCTTGTGCCTCAGCCCCACCCCAACCTGACCTTCCAGGCCAGCTGCAGGGAAGAGATAACCACCCGGCAGGTGTGGCTTGGCTAGGGAGTCCCCGGGGTGGAGCTGAGGGTCAGAGACCAGGATGTAGGACACAGACCTTGACAGAGGATCAGAGACTGGAGACAAAAAGTCAGACCCAGGAGAGCCCAGGGCCAGGAGGTGACAGATAGGACCCAAAACAGTTTCAGGGGCAGCCTCAGGGAGACCCCAGCATGGGACCTCTGGGACTTGCCAGCACTGGCCACTTGTCCTGGGACAGACACAGCCAGAGGGCACAGGGAGGGACTTGAGCCACTCTTGGGTTCTGGCCATAGAGGCAAGACTGAGGACACAGCTATGGCCAGAGGTGGGCTACCTCCCTGAGCTGCTGGCCTAGACTTCAGGGACCATCTCCTCCCCTCCGTGGCAGCCCTCTGCATCCCCTAAAAGGCAAAGTTCAAAGAGCCTCGAATTCCCCTAAACCCAGGAGAGGGCACTGGACAGCCCCCAACTCTGACACTGCAGAGCCCTGGCCTCAGAAGACCCAGCTCCGGACCCCAAGCCCAACTCTCGCAAGCCTCACGGCACAATTGAGCAGAGTGCAGCCCCACCCCACGGAGCCAGGCGACCCGCCCAGCTGGGAAGTGGCAGGGCCAGCCTGGGCATGCAGGCTCACACCCTCCTTAGTCTCAAGGCCAGAGCCTAGCCGACAGGGCTGTCTGAGGCACAGTGCCGCCCAGGAGGGTGACAGGAGGTGGAGCCAGGCCCGAGCCAGGAGGGTCCCCATGGCCACCTGGGCACCCTCCCTGTGGAAGTGGCTCTCCAGGGCCCGAAGCTGGGGATGGATCCGGAGCAGCCTCCCAAGCCCACCTGAAGCCCACACAGGCACTGGTGGCAGCTCCCGGGCTCTGCTTGCTAGAGACCATGGGCCTGGGCTGCTGGTGGTGCTAGACACACGAGGCTCACCGCGCCACTCCCAGCCCCCCGAGGGGACAGCAAGGTTGCTGGGCCTGGGACACAGACCCGGGCCTGCTGGGCTGCCACGGTGAACCCCTCTAGTGCACACCAAGGCTCATGACGACAAAACAAAGCCTTAAGAGGGACGACACAAGTGCCACCTCGGAGACAGGGCTGCCACTTCCACTGGCACCCACGCCAGGCAGAGGACAGCTTCCTGGCAGGGCAGCTGCACAGGGCATCCACGTGGGCATGGGCACCTGGGCACGTAGGCGCTGCCTGCCCCTATCCTTAACAGGATCCAGGCTCCCCACCTTCGCTGGCCCACTCATCTGGCGATTCAGGCTGGCATGGCGGATGGGCGGGAAGGTGTGACCTACTTCACTCCTCCAGAGCTGAGGGTGGCAAAGCCGCAATGCTGGGGACACAGCCACCCCATCCCCCGCTCTTCCGGGTGCTCCCAGAAGGGAAGGGAGGTGGCCTGCCAAGGGGGAAGGCCCACCTGGCTCCTGCCAAGCACAGTGGTGGCAGGATGTCCCCTCAGGTCCCAAGCCCAGCCCTGCTGACCCAAGGTGGTGGAGGGCGACAGGACACGCAGGGGACACAGGCAGCACAAGGAGCACAGGGCAGCAAGTCCCTCGGCCAGACATGCCCACCTGGCTGAAGGGCCTGGTCCAAGCACAGATGTGACATCAGTCCTTTAGCAGGCCAGCACAGGGCCAGGAGCAGAAAGGCGGCTGTCACCAGACACAGCACTCCCGGCCGAGGCTGCGGCCCCACTTCTACAGAGCACCAAGGCCAGCAAGGCAGCTGGCACAGCCAGGCTCAGAGGGAAGACGGGAAGGCAGAGGCCGGGTGGCTCCTGGGGCACCGTGCTCTCCCAAAGGTGCCTGCTTTGCCAGGGGCCTCACTGAGAATGTTGTCCTCCCCACTGTCACTTTATTCAAGACTCGTGAAGCTCTGATCCCTTCGTGGCCCCTAACATGCCTCAGTGCTCACACTCCGATGTAAGACCGCTGGCTGCGGGCCCCTGCGCCTTCACCCTGCACCTACTTCCAGGGCCTGCACTCCCTGCCTGCTCTCCAGGAAGGCAGCACTGCCCAGGCGTCCAGGTCAGCCACAGGCAACGCTGGAACCAGGGCTGTCTGCAGGGCCCAGGTGCGTTAACACTCCCTAGCACGGCACCTGGCTGCAGCATGCCAGCCTGTCACCCTCTTCTGGGGGCAGTGAGTGGCAAGCAGCACCCCATCCCAATCCCCCAGCAGCCACAGGACGGGCCCAGAGCACAGCCAGGCAGCTCAGAAGAGCACAGGAGGGCTGGAGTTGGGCATGCACAAGGCCGAGTTTGATCCTCAACACTGAGAAGACAGACAAACCAACACCAGAACAAAAATAGGCCCCGTGTGGTGGCACATGCCTGTGATCCTAGTACTTGGGAGGCTGAGGCAGGAGGATCAGCATGAGTTTGACACCAGCCTGGACTCCATAGTGAGTCCAAGGCCTGCCTGAACTACACAGCGAACTCTGTCTCAAATTAACAAACAACAAAAAGCCTCCACAAAAAAGAAAGCAACCCGGGACACCTACATACACCCTATCACAAGGTACTCCTTTCCTCAATGCCCAAGAAGCCTCACAGGCCACTGTCACTGAGTTTACAGGCAGTTCTGACCCTGAACACACAGGAGCTCAAGTCCTCAGCACAGCTGGCCAAGAGGACAGGCCCAAGGAAGGGTCCTTGTGGCCTAACAGGTGGCTGAAAGTGTTAATTCAGAGACACCCTTGCCCGATCATTTATCACCTATGCTGTTTTTTTGAGAGGTCTTACTAGTTCAGGATGGCCTTGAACTCAGATGATCCTCCTGCCTCAGCCTCCACAAGTGCTGGGATCAAAAGCATAGTCACCACACCCAGTTTACCTATTTTTAAAAACAAATTGGGCCAGGTGTGGTGCCCCACGCCTGTAATCCCAGCACTCTGGAGGCAAAGGCAGGAGGACTGCCACTAGTTCAAGGCCAGACTGGGTATACAGCCTACACTATATAGTGAGACCCTGTCTCAAAAAAAACCAAAACCCTAGGCCCGGGATTTAGCTCAGTGGTTCTACCACCTGCCTCAAAAGCGCAAGGACCCAAGTTCGATCCCTGGGACAAAAAAAGAAAGAAAAAACAAAACCCTGGGCCAAGGATGTAGCTCGGTGGCACCCCACCTGCCTTGAGAGCGCAAGGTCCTGAGTTCAAGGCCTTGCTTCAAATAAGTGAATACATAAAATCCAATCATCTCTTCTGGCCCGGTGTTCGTCCCAAGCAAGTTCTTAAGGTACGGGGCAGTCCTGCACCAGGGTGAGAGCTGCCCGCCCGGGTATGTGGCTGCCTTCTCAGCATTTCCTCTGTGCAGAGGAAGCCACAGCATTGCCAACGCTGGAGGAGGAGTGGCAGTGCCCAGTCCGAGGTGTCCCCAGCAGGACAGCAGACCGCACTGTGGGGAGCCACCTGGAGCCAGCCGGTGTCTGCCCTGCCCTGGGGCACACTGGAGGCTTCAGACCCAGGGCGGGGGAAGGGGAAGGATGGAGCGAGCATGGAGGAGCAGAGGCGGGTCAGGGCAGCAGGGCTGAGCAAGGAGGCAAGCGGGAGGGTGGGGCATGGAACAGTGTCACTCCCTGTCAGAGGAGGCCTGGCCCTGCCCACACCCACAGCAGAAAGTCAGCGACGGAGGCCCAGATACAGGCTGCCGGGAACCTCCCTCAGCCAGGGCCGTTCCTCCGCGAGCCGCCCCGTAAACAGGTTTCGAAACCATTAGTCAGCACTTCGCCGGCAGACCTGTCCCCAGCTCCTGGCCCCAAAGCGGGGGACCTGGGCCCCGGCCCTGCCTCACTGGCCCCGGGGTCCTGAGAGGGGCAAGGTGGGGAGCGGCTGAGCTGCCGGCTGGCCTACGGAGGCCGCCAGGCCTGAGGTGCCCCGGCGTCCAGCAGGCCCAGCATCAACTGCCAGCGCGGAGTCTCCCGGCGCCTCCCCCTCCCGGTCTGACGCAGAGAGGCCCTGGCCAATGCCCGGTCGCCGGAGCGCTGTCAACAAACAAGCCGAGGGCCAGGCAGGTGGGCCTGCCTGGGACGCCAGACTCAGACCGGGCCACTGGCCACACACGAAGGGGGTCCAGACCCGGAGAGGCCCCCAGGCAGTCAGTGCAACACCCCGAGTCCCCTCCCCTCCCAGCCGGGCAGCTCGCAAGCCCAGGGCTGCTCAACACCCAGGGGAGCCAGGTCAAATCTGGGCCGAAGACCCAGGGCCCCCGAGGAGCTCCCAGCTCCACAGCCGGGGACACTGATCTGGAAAGGCGGGTCAGGCGGTGACACTGCCCCCCCCCCCCCCCTCAGCTTTACTGTGCAGGGCATTCTGACCCTTCTTGTTCTATCCCCCCCAGGCCTCACCTGGAAGTCGTACAGCGCCACGATGTTCTCGTGCTTCAGCTCCTAGGTCGGAAAACCAAGTTTCTCACATGCAGGCACAGGCTGGCCCGCTCCCTCCCTCTTGGAGCACCAGCTCACCTTGAGAATTTTGATTTCCTTCCCCAGCAGCGTCTGGGACTTGGCCAGGTTCTTCTTGCTAATGCACTTGACCGCGACCTCCAGGTCATGCTTCTGGAAACCAAGTGTGGCCTTGAAGGTGGGGACACACGGACGCCCCTCCCCTGGCTCCGGTGAAGTTCTCGAGTGGGGGTCCTGGAAGCAGCCCGGCCTGGGCTCTCAGATAGGGGCTGGGGTCCCCGGGAAGAGAGTCCCAGGCTGGGGCGCGCGCCGGGGTCTCGCAAGCACCCACCTCGCGGTGGCGCCCCTTGAAGACCACTGCGAAAGCGCCGTGGCCGATCAGGTCCTTGCGCGAGAACTCGAAGCGGCCCACGGTCTCCACGCCGCCGCGGCCGGGCTCCATGGCGCGCGCGGGCCGGGGACGCGGGGAGGGGCGCGGCGGGCTGCGCGCGGGGCTCAGGCGGAGGCGCGGAACGCGGGTGGGCCGGGCGCGCGGGGCCGGGCTCGTAGGACCGGGCGCGGGCGCATCGCCGGGGCCGCGCGCCCCATCGGGCAGGCCTGGGCCGGGTCCCAGCCCCGCGGGCCCGAGGGAGGGCCGGGCGCCGCGCTCGCCGGGATCCGAGGAGCGCTGGTGGACGGACAGGCTGAGACGCCCGGCTCCCGTTCCGACTCGGCTCTGGCTCCGGCCCCGACTCCGACTCCGACTCAGCTCCGGCTCTGACACGACCCAGACTGCGGCCCAGACTCGAAGCTCGAGCCCCGGCAGGGAAACAAAAGAGCCGCGGCGGCCGGGCCTTGGAGCCTAAGACGCCAGCGCAGCCGCACAGCCCGGGGGTGGGGCCTTGGGCGGGGACTAAGGCGCCTCGGGGTCGGGCAGGGGCGGGGCCTCGAGGGGCCAGGCCCAGTGAGTGGCGAGTCTGGCAGTGGGGCGGAACCTCGAGGAATGGAACCCAGTGAGTGGCGCTGCTGGCGGCCGGGGACTTAGCTCAGTGGTTCCGGTAGCTGCCTCGCAAGCACAAGGTCCCAAGTTCGATTCCCCGGTACCAAAAAACCCCCCAAAAAACAGAATGGCTCTGCGGGGCCGGTCCGTGGTGGCGCTCACTTCGAGGCGGGGCCTCAGGGGCGGGGACATGAGTGGTGGGACTGGAGGCCTGGAAGGGGCGGGCCTAGAGAGCAATCGGGCCTAGCACTGGTGAAGCGGACGGCGGGGAGGGGCCTGGGTGGATTTCTGTCCGTGGGCGTGGCTGTGGGGCGGGGCGGTGGCTGCGAAGCGCGCGGCTACCCGGGCCGCCCTGGACCTCGGCGGTCCTCCCCTGCCAGCTCCCCGTGTGCCGCTCGTCCTTGCGTCCACGGCTGCCCAGCCTCCTTTCTCCAGCCCACAGAAGACGCCTTGAACATTGCATATGGCAGTGCCCGCGGCCTGACCCTGGGCGATGAGGCGCCTGTGCTGCAGGGGGCAGCACGTGCATAGCAAGTGGGGCGCATGGGTTTGACCCCCAGAACCAGAAATGTAAGGAAAGATGCCTTCCGTGAATCCCAAGCCCTGAGCCCCAAACGGCGCCCAAACAGGAAAGCCCATCGGTCTGCCCGAGAGAGGCCAGGGAGCCCGGCCCGCCAGCGCCCTGGCGGGCGGGGCAGCAGCCTCGCTCCGCACCTGCACCGCGAGCGCGCAGGCGCCCCACCTGTGTGCTGGGCCCGGCACGACGGGCCTGCAGCCCAGCCTTGCCGAGCGGCGCGTCCCTCCGGGCCCCGAGGTGTTCCCTGTGGTTCCGTGGGCCTTGCTACTCTGCCCTCGTCCTACAGATGAGGAAGTTGGCGTGAATGTGCCCAGGGTCCAGAGCTGTGAGAGAAGCCTGCCGACCCTCACACCAGAAGCTGCCTGCAGAGTCAGTGCTTTCCACTGGGCAGGCCTGTGTAAGTTTAGCTATTTTCATGTTTTGTTTTGAGATAGGCTCTCAGTACAAGTCCAGGCTGGACTTGAGCTCACGGTGATCCTCCTGCCTCAGCCTCCTGAGAGGTGGGATATGGGAATGCTCCACCACACCCCACTGCATTTGAACTGCTTTTATTGCTATGTTTGCAAAGGCATAATTCTAAATAATCCTCACTGCCTGGAGCTCTCAGCAGAAGGGCAGTCGTTCCCCGACCCAGCAGAGGGCCAGGCCCTCCTGAAGGGCTCTTCGTGTTCCCAGGCACAAAGCCCAGCACCCTGGAAGGGCCCCAGCCATGCAGATGCCCTGCACTGCTCTGTGTCCTCATCTCAGGCCCCGGGATGCTAGCTCACTGCCTGGATGGGGGCCAGAGGCTGGAAGGGCAGAGGGCTGCCGGCCCAGCCCTGGGTTCTCCAGGTGAAAAGGCATCCAGCACCACCGGTCCACCAGGGCCGCCATTCCCAGCACTGGCCACTGAGCACAGACTGAGCTGGCTGGGAGCCAGGAACTCAGTGTGGGGCTGCAAGGGAGTGTCCCTTCCCTCAGGAGCTTCCAAGCAGGGCTGAGTGGGAGGTGGATGAGAAAGGTAATGTAGACTGGGGGTGGCTGGCAGTCCCAGAACTGGGGAGGCTGAGGCAGGAAGATCACCCTGAGTTCTGGGCCAGCTTGGGCTACATAATGAGTTTGAGGCCAGCCTGAACTATACACCTAGACCTTCTCACAAACAAAAAATAAACAAAAATGTTTTAAAAGGGCTGGGAATGTAGCTCAGGGACACAGCATTTGCTCAAGGCCCTGGGTTCACCAATCCTGTAAAAAAAAAAAAAAGGGTGTTAATTTAGCCACATGTGATAGCACACATCTGTAATCCACCCCTCTGGGGGAGGCTGAGGCAGGAGGATGCAGAATTCGAGCCCAGCCTGATCCACTTCGTGAGACCCTGACTCAAACTGAAAAAAGAGAGGTCCGACATTTCCTCACCACCGTCCCTGTTCGGAACATAGCTACCTCCCAGAGCTGCAGCTCCGGCCCCAGCCCCAAAACCTGTGTCTGCTTTCTGCCCTGTGGATCTGACTGCTCCAGGGCCCAAGGAGGCAGATGCAGACTGGCTGTGTGTTTGTCTGGCCTCTCTCTCTCTCCCCCTCCTTCCCTGCTTTGTTTTCTTTTGATTTTTTTGAAACACAGAGTCTGACTTGTAGTCCAGACTAGGCCTAACTCAGGGACCCTCCTGCATCAGCCTTCTGAGTACTGAGACTGCAGACCTGCACCACCACGCCTGGATCTTTCTTTTCTCTTTTTATTTATTGATTGGTTGATTTATTTACTTTTGGTACCAGGGATTGAACTCTGGACCTCGTGCTGCCAGGCAGGCGCTGTGCGGCTGAGCTGCATCCCAGCCTCTTATTTATTTCTGTGGCAGGGCTCAAACCCAGTCCTCAGCATGCTGGGCAAGCTCTACCACTGAGCACCACTCCAAGTGTTCCAATCTTTTGGTGGTAGAGACTGAAGACTGAAAACAGGACCTTTGCCCTGAGCTGCATCCCAGCCCCAGTATGTGTTTCACTCTTATTTATTTATTTTCAGACGGGGTCTCACTACGTAACCCTCCAATTCACAGTGGTCCCCTGTCTCAGCTTCCCCAGTATTGGAATTAATATATATATTTTCTTGGTATTGGGGATGGAACTTGGGACCTTGTGCCTTCTCGGCAGGCGCCAGAACCACTGAGCTAAATCCCCGGCCCTGGAATTATTGACTTATAACACCACGCCTGGCTTTTATTTTTATCTTGAGACAAAGTCTCCCTACATCATTAAGTCTCCCAGGCTAGGTTGAAACTTGTGATTCTCCTGCCTCGGCCTCCCCAAGGAGTGCCGGGATTCCAGGCATTCACCACACCCAGCTGGCCTGTTTGTTTTATAAATAGCAAGCATAGGAATGAAGTGATTGCTCAGGGCTGGATTTGCATCTCTGTGGCTAGCCCTGTCAGAGGCCTCCTCCCACAGGCCCTGGGCATGCCCCTGTCTTGCCCTGGAGTACCTGTGCTGTCCAGCTCCAGGCCCTTCCCTCCAGGCTGTGCTTTCCCAGTGTGGGGCAGCAGGGCTTCTGCACGCAGATAGCAGGCAACACGCAGCCGGGCCCTGCTGGCTCCAGTCCCAGCAGATCAGCGGCCACAAGGCTGGGGCAGCAGCCCCACCCCTTCCTGCATCCTGCCCACCTGCCCTGCCCTGCCCTCCTCCACAGGGCTGTGGGGTCTGGGACCCTCCCAACAGCCACAGGAGCCATGGGGGTGGGCAGTACCTGCAACCCCAGCTCTGGGAGGCTCCTGTAATTTAGTGACTTAGTGAGAACCTGTCTCAAAATCAAAAGTAAGAAAGGCTGTTTTTCTCCAAAAAAGGAGAAGCCAGACACAGAAGGACCTGGCGCGCAATCCTGTTTCTATGAAATCTGCAGGAGTTGTGGGGCCGTGCTGGCCATGCTTTGCCTCGCTGGGTCTGAGAGGTAGAACCTAACTTCCAATGGCGGGAGAAGAACTTCAGGATGGACAGGCGCTGGACATCGGGAGGGCAGCCTGGGGCTGGGTGTTAAAACAAAATAAAACTAAGTAAAATACATCTCAGTTTGGCCAGGGATGATGGTGCATACCCATTAACCCAGCACTCTGGAAGGCTGAGGCAGGAGGATCATAAACTCAAACTCAGCCTGGGAAAGTTAGCTTGACTGTTTCAGAATTTTAAAAAAGGATTGCGGATGTAGCTCAGTTCAAAGGCCTGGGTTCAACCCCTGGCTCTGAAAAAAAATAAAAGATTGGGGTGCGTACAGGCTGCATTTTCTGTGCTCAGACCTCACACAGGCCTCAGCCATTTTTGAGAGCCCAGCGCTGCATGGCTGGCAGGAAACCCCTGCCTCCTCCCATAGGGCAGTGGTGCGTGGGACCCAGGGAGCGGGGTAAAAAAGTAGGTCAAAGGGAGACAAGGAAATCAGAATTGATTTAGTTAAGTTTTTTTGAGATAGGGCCTCACTCACTGTGTAGTTTGGGGTGGGTTTGAACTCACAATGTATCCCTGGTTTGAACTCTTGGCAAATCATCCTGCCTCAGCCTCCCAAGGGCTGAGATCACAGGCATGTGCCACCACGGCTGCCTTGAAGTCATCACCAAGCCCCACAAATGTACCCAGCTCGGGATCACGAGGCGCTCTGTCCCTGGAGGCCCACACCCTTTGAGCGAGTCTCTGACTGCCGCTGGGCCTGGGCATTGTCTCCGTGGGGAGTCCGATGCCCAGCTGGTCTCCATGGTGAGGTGGGTCCGGACCTCCCAGGAGCCTGCACTGACAGCCCAGACCCAGGCCTCAGCTCTGGACGAGCCTCTTGCCACAGTTCTGGGTCACTGGGCTGGAACTAAGTGTGTTTTCGATCTTGGATCCTTTTCTTTCTTTTTTTTTTTTGGTACCGGGGATCGAACTCAAGGGCCCTTGTGCTTGCACAGCAGGCGAAGAAACCACTGAGCTAA